ACATTTCCCAGTCAGAATGGTTAATGGCTTGGAGGGGAATATGAAGGTGGTGGTGTTCCTATGCATCTGCTGCCCTTGTCCTTCAAGACAGAAGTGGTCATAGGTTTGGAAAGTGTTGTCTGAGGATCTTTGGTGAAATTCTGTGGTGCATCTTGTAGTTGGTACACTTTGCTGCTACTGAGCATCAGTGATGGAGGGAGTGAATGCTTGTGGATGTAGTGCCAATCAAGTGGCTGCTTTGTCCTGGATGGCGTCATGCTTCTTGAGTGTTGTTGGGGCTGCACTCATCCAGGCAAGTGGGGAGTATTCCATCACACTCCTGACTTGTGCCTTGTAGACGGTGGACAGGCTTTGAGGAGTCAGGTGGTGAGTTACTCATTGCAGGAATTTTAGCATCTGACCTGCTTTTGTAGCCACTGTGATTTTATGTGGTGAGTCCAGTTGAGTTCCTGGTCAATGGTAACCCCCAGGACGTTGACAGAGGGGGATTCAGTGAATACAACACTGTTGAATGTCAAGGGTCATGGGTTAGATTGTCTCTTGTTGGTGATGGTCATAGCCTGGCATTTGTGTGGCGTGAATGTTACTTGCCGCTTGTCAGCCCAAGCCTCGATATTGTCCAGATCTTGCTGCATCTGAACATGGACTGCTTCAGTACCTGAGGGGTCACGAATGCTGCTGAACATTGTGCAATCATCGGCAAACATCCCCACTTCTGACCTTATGATGGAGGGAAGGTCATTGATAAAGCAGCTAAAGATGGTTGGGCCTAGGACACTACCCTGAGGAACACCTGCAGAGATGTCCTGAAGCGGAGATGACTGACCTCCAACAACCACAACCATCTTCCTATGTGTCAGGTATGACTCCAACCAGCAGAGAGCTTGCCCCTAATACCCATTGATTCCAGTTTTGCTAGGGCTCCTGATGCCACACTCGGTCAAATGCAGTCTTGATGTCAAGGGCTGTCACTATCACATCACCTCACCTCTGGAATTCAGCTGTTTTGTCCAAGTTTGAACAAAGGCCGTGATGAGGTCAGGAGCGGAGTGGCCCTGGCGGAACCCAAACTGGGCACCACTGAGCACGTGCTGCTTGTTAGCATTGTTGATGACAACTTCCATCACTTTACTGATGATCGAGAGAAAACTGATTGGGCGGTAATTGGCCGGGTTGGATTGGTCCTGTCTTTTATGTACAGGGCATACCTGAGCAATTCGTTTATTCGGGACAAGATAACCAGGGAAAGGGTGGGCCTAAATGGCAAACTATGGGTGGAGCCAGAAGATGTGAGTGAAGTCTTAAATGAGTACTCTGCATTCACGATAGAGAGGAACAATGAAGTTCTAGAAATCAGGGAAGAGGCCTGAAATACTTGAACAAATTACAACTGCGAGGGAGGAGGTATATTAGTCATTTTAGCAGACTTAAAATTGGATAAGTCCGCAGGCCCAGATGTGAGATATCCCAGGTTGCTATAGGATACAAGGGACAAGATTTCAGGGGGCCTGATATGAATTGTCAAATTGTCTCTGAACATTGGCTGTTCTTTGGCACCTGTATGTGGAAGCATTACTCAAGAAAGGTAGTAGGGAATAAACCAACAATCTCTAGGCCAGTGATTCTAACGATAATGGAGGGGAAAAAAAAAATTGAGGGAAAGAAGTAATTGCCACTTGGAAGAGTTAATCAAGGATAGTCAGCATAGACATGATCTCATGTCAAAGCTAACAGGTTTGATTGGTGTTTAGAAGATGACTAGATCTGTGGATGAGGATAGTGCAACGTACAGAGTCTGTATGGATTTCAGTACAGCTTTTTATAAGGTCTCACATGGGAGACTGGTTAAGAAGCTAAAAACAATAGGATCACATGCAATTTGGTCAACTGGCTTAGTGACAGGAGGCAGGCCAATGTTCCAAGGCTTTTTTTTGGTAACACAAAGGTTATGTCTAGTGGTGTACCACAGGATTCTAAGCCTTTGCTGGTTGTAGTGTACATTTATTATCTAGACATGAATGTAGGAGGTTTGACCAGTAAGTTTACAGATAATACAAAATATGGTAGTATGGTAAATAGCAACAAGGAAAGGCTTAGACTACAGGATAGAACAGTTTCAAATAAATTTAATCCTGAAAAATGAGGTGATGCTTTGTTATTCCATCCAATTTGCAAGGAGACTAACTATAAAATGATAGGACCATAGGAAATAGAGGATCAGAGTGAATTTGATGTGTGTTTCCACTGAGCCTGAAGACACATGCCAGGTGGATAAGGTAATTACGGCAGCATGTGGGATACTTTCCTTTATTAGTCAAGACATTAAAATACAAAGCACAGTGAAGTTATGATGTAGCTGTACAAGACCTTTAGTTAACCACAACTGGAATTGTACCAGAGGGTGTAGAAGGCATTCACCAGAATACTACCTAGGCTGAAATATTTCAGTTATGAAGACAGACTAAGTAGGTTAGAATTGTTTTTCTCAGGAGCAGTAAAGGCTGAGGGGGGAAAGAAGTCTAATTGAGATGTACAAAATTACAGCAGGCTTAGATAGGTAGACATTCTTCAAGGTAACAATAAACAGGGGCTATAGATCTAAGATAAGGCAGGAGATTTAAGAGGGAATTTAAAGGAAGACTTTTCTCCCCTCTTTGGGGAAAAAAAAATGGACATCTGGAACTCAATGCCTGAAAAAGAGTGATAGTGGCAGGGACCATTATATTTTAATTATATAGATAATCACTTGAATTGCTTGACTACTTGCACTGGGCTGAAGAACCTCTTTCCAGGCTAAAAATCTGACACGACAGCTCCAAGTCTGCTTAAAAATAAACAGAGTTGGAAGAACTGCCTGGCTGATCTATTTCTGGAAAATCCCTCCACATCAGTTCAGGGTGAAACTAAAATTGTTCTTTCAAAAAAGCATGATTGAAAGAATGTCAACATTTGTTAGAAAAATACAAGGGAGTGGCTATAATTGCAGCTACTCTAGTTGGCAAGAGGTAACTAGCACTTTTCTGCTATGATCAGTTTTGGGTTCTCAACTGTTCACTACCTAGATGATAGCAGAAAGATCAATTTAGAAGTGTTGGGCCATGACAAATAGTTGCTTGTGCAATTTCTAAAATTAAAGACGGAAGCATAATCTAAGTGAAAAGGACCTCAAAATTGCAACAAAAGAATTAATGTTACTAAATGCATGGCCATCTACATTAGATTAAAAGGAAGTACGATAGGATATTAGGAACTTACGGCATAGTGGCAGTGTCTGAAAAGTTCAAGTTAAAGTCCCACCCAGCCCAGACATATATTGTAAAAAGTGTAGGTATTTTTAAAATTGTGAAAAACCTACTAATAGAAGTTTAGGTTTGTGCAGATTTTTGTCGCTTGTGATATTTTAAAACCAAATAAAAAGGTTAAACAAATGTTGGCCTTATCTAAAGGATTACACTTAAATAAAAAAATGGGGCCATTACTTTTCGTAGGTGTAACAATTGAAAAGCAAGAAAGATCGGTGTTAAGCATGTTGCAGAACAAAAATTGCTGAAAGTTTATCTTGCACTCATCAGGACAAACAATGTTAACATTTGAAAACAAAATCATACTTTAGGAACAATGTGGATTGGTTAAGGCTCAAAACAAAGCAATTAGGAATTACAGGCTCTCCATTCTTATGGGTAATTAATGAGGGCAAGACTTCACCATAGTAGTTCTGTTTGCAGAGAATGATTCCCAGCTAGCAAACAACCCGTTAGGAACTCGAGTAATTACTACACCGATGAGCAATTTAAGATAATCAAAACAGAATTATTCAGCAAATGCTGCAAAATTGCAGAGTGGCATTCAAAAGTAGCAGTTTTAAGTTGGGTTTTTAATAGAATAGGATGGTTGGGTATATTCTATACTCAGGTGATTACAACACAGCTGACAAAATATTTTGTTCGATTTGATCAAAGAATTAGGACTTATGGCATTACAGTAACCATGAAATTGATACACTTAAATGGAGATAAGCAAAACATCTTTGGCAAAAACATCTGGTGGCAAACACTACAATTGTAACCGCATAATGGCAGCATAACAAGGACTGGCGTCCCCTGGTCACATGCAAGATACATGACCTTTCCAGAATAACTTGAAAGCACTTTTCAGGTACAGAAGGATGGCCTTGGCTCATATGAATTTTTTTGTCAAAGTCTTGCAGGATGGCTTTGTTGTGGTCAAGTTGCATGGCAAGTGAGTGACCAAGTCTGCTACAGCTATTGGGAACAGGAAAGGAGCTGTTTGCTGCAAACAAAAGGTTAATGAGAAGGGTCCCAGCCCGAAACATTAACTTACCTGCTCCTCTGACGTTGCCTGGCCTGCTGTATTCTTCCAGCTCCATTCTGTGTTCTCTTAATAGGTCAGCACAACATTGTGGGCCAAATGGCCTGTACTGTACCGTACTGTTCTATGTTCTTTGTTCTGACTCCAGCATTGGCAGTTCTTGCTATCTTTTAATACGGTCAAGCTGTGTATTTTTTAAAATTACTTAGAATCAGAGTTCAGCCTTTAGTTCCTCATTGCTTTATCTATGGAACACCTCAGCCAGGGAGCTGACTTGCCAGCTTATCAATACTCTTTTCTCCCATGGTAAAAAATGGTTTAATAGCTTGATATTTGGCACTCATTTGTCTGAAGTCCAAGACTAAAAGCTTTGGCAATATATCCACTAATATTCAAGTTCTATACTGCCAAGCGATAGAAAACAAAAAAGGGACAAGTAATACATTCCTATTACTAATTTTATTGCAAGTGGAGTTCAGATGAACATTTCATCGTTAAACTATTAATCGTAAATGCTGGAAGTTTTCAACTACTGAACATGCTGATCACAGACAGTCCAGGTATTCTCCAAAATATCAACTAGACACTGAGCAAAACATTTAAAAGCTACTTAATTGCTAACATTTAAAGAAAGGAGATTAGTCACCATGAAATCGTATACTCTTGACAGATTTCTAATATTAAACTTTATTTGCTTCTAGAAATACAATATATGCAGTTATACAAAAAGAGATAGTTTAGTTCAAAAATGGAGCAGGACAGAATACATTAGATTTCACAAGTCAGATGAGGAAAAAAAAAAGTCAGATCTTCTCCATCTTGGAAATAAGTTCATCACAAATTTTAGATAGTTCCACATTTTCTTTAGTCTGTAGATATAGAAAATTATCATTTTTAGCATATTGCAAAAGCCAGACATCACTGACTAGAATCCCACAACTGCTTATTTCTATAGTGTGATGTGGAACCTTAGTGGCCATCATCCCATAGGTGCAGGTGGTATACAAGTTTTAACTTATTACAGAATGCTTTTGCCAATATTGCTGTCCTCATTTGGAAAGTTCAAATATTTAACTTGTACAGAAAAACTGAGTATCTGAAAAGACATCTACTGTGAAATGATCTATATTAAAGTTTGTAATCCACTTGCCTTTTCTTCCAGGCTCCTCTCCAGAGAATTGGTTTTCATTTGCTCTTTACGTAGTTGGGCCTGGAGAGCAGCAACCTCTGCTTTGTACTTGTTGCGCACTTGTGCTATCTCTTCATTTGCTCTTTTCAGAAAAAGAGCAACAAAAGTTGTAATTAGATATTAAGGATGAGGGAAAGAGAAATTGATGGAGAATTTATGAAGTTTCTTTTTACGACCAAATTGATAAGCTGATCATAGAATTCCTACAGCATGAAGGCATGCCATTTGGCCCAACAAAATCCACGCTGACCCTCCGAAGAGCATCCCACCCAGACTGACCCAACCCCTCACCCCATCTCTGTAACTCTACATTTCCCATGGCTAATCTACCTAGCTTGCACATGTTTAGACTGTGGGAGGAAACTTAGGCAGTGGTGAGAATGCACAACTCCACACAGACAGTTGCCTGAGGGTTGAATCGAACCCAGGTCCCTGGCACTGTCAGGTGGCAGTGCTAACCACTGTACCACCCTATGATTGCTAAACAAAAGAACGCATGACATGAAAACCAGGTGATATTACCATGTGATAATTATACACAAAATGGCAGATTGTTAAACAGTGCCTTCAATAATTGGTATAATTCGAAGAACTATATAGCATCAGCCCAAATCAAAATTTGAGCAATCATTCACGGGTTTGGTATCACTGAATTGATCTCAAAAATGACCTGCCTGAACACCTGCAGTTCATAGGCACACAATACTGTTTGTTGGAAGAATTCCTATCCGTTTTCTTTTTAGTTTCAATGGTAGTTGATACAACTGGGTGGCTTGCTAGGACATTTCAGTGGGCAATGAGTCAGCTATTTGATCAACTACAGTGCAGTTTCATTGGATGCAATTTCACCAGAATCAATTACTAGTTTCAGAACAACAAATAAGTACAAGCTTGATCAGAGTGTGTGTATTGTTTTGAAATTGAAAACAAGATTTGCCAACAAGCAAGAGCAATTTTTCTGGAAGGTCTGCCAAGAATCAATTTTAAAAGCAGCCAGCCTACTGGAGCGAGAGTAATAAAGCTTGGGTAAAAGCCACTGCAGATCCATTGGATTCAAAACGTTGAGTGACAGCTTTAGTAGGGGAGTGGTGGTGGTGTGTATGGTGTGGGGGGAAAGAAATGACAGTTGTGGTAGTGGAAGTCCTCACTTAACGTCACAAGTTGAGAATAGGACTCCTATCTGTTCTTTAGAAAGATCATTGGACCCAAAATGTTAACTGCTTTCTCTCCACAGATGCTGCCAGACCCAAGTTTCAGTAATGTCTGGTGTTTCCAAAGACTCTCAACCCTCAGATGAAATTCCATCTTAAATTGGGGCTACTTTATTCAGAGTATGCCCTCTGATCCTAGGCTGTCCCTTGAGGTGGGGGAGGAGGAGGAACACATCCTCTCAATAATGTAGCCTATCAAATACCTGAGGAATCCTACGAGTTTCAATTAGATCACCTCTCATTCTAAATTCAAATGAACAGAATCCCAAATTTATTTAATCTTTGCTTCTAAGACAATCCCTCAACATCAGGCCTCACCATAGCGAGCCTGATCTGAATTACCTCTAAATGAAAGTGATATCATTCCTTAAATAAGTAGATTAAAAATTGCTCAGTACTTCAGATGTGGTCTCACCAGCATCTTGAGTTTCCATCCATTTAAATACAGTTCTTTTCTAAAGTGAAGATCTCATTTTGCCCACATTATACCCCATTTGCCAACTTCACCATTTATTCAGCCTATCAATATCTCTAAACTGCTTATATCCCTCTCACAACCTGCCTTTCCAACTAATTGTGGGGTCTGCAAACTTGGCTACAGTACATTCATTTAGATTACTGATTTTAGAGGAATTATCAACAATAACCTATAAATAAATAACATTTAACAATTTAAATCAATAATGAAACCAGTACTGTAGTACTGGATAAAATGACTCATTTGATGTACTTTCATTTGACAACTCAATCTAGCAACAGAAGCTGGCTGATGCAGGCATAACAACCTACACTGACTGTCTTCTACCACATGGTGGAGCTTAGCACTTCAAGCCAAGAACAGGAGCCAAGACAAAAAAGGACACTGAATGAGTGTTTAAAAGGCAACAGAAGAGGAACCCCCCCCAGCCTCATCCCTCTCATCCTCACCTCCTTAAACCTGACACAACTTTCTCTCCCACCATCCAATCCCCTACCTGCACTCACCTATCACCAACCCACCTACCTTCCCCAGGCCCACCTCTCCTTTATTTCCCAGTTCCCTCCCTGCCCCCATTTCTGTTCATTAGTGACATGAATGATTTGTTTTAATGGAGCAAACCTTATATAGAGATTGTGTATAGCGTCGATAAAATGTGGAGCTGCAGGAGCACAGGTCAGACAGCATGAGGAGCAGGCAAGTCTATGTTTTGGGTCTGGACCCTTCAGGGCTGAGGAGGGAAGTGGGAGCTCATAAATAAATAGAGGGAGGGGGATGGGGCTGGGGGAAGGTAGGTAGGATGTTGATAGGTGGATGCAGGTTAGGGTTTGCAGAGATTAGTCAGTAGGAATGGTGGAGCAGATAGGCGAGAAGGAAGATGGATAGGTTGTGTCAGGTCAAGGAGGCAGGGTTAGACATGGGATAAGGCTGGAGATGGAGAAGATTTTGAAGCTGATGTACTCTACATTGAGGCCATTGGGCTGCAAGCTCCCGAGGTCCTCCAGTTTATGTGCAGCCTCATTTTGACAGTGGAGGCGGCCCAGGATGGACATGTCGCCAAGGGAGTTGGGAGAGGGGGTTTTTGAAATGGCTGGCCACCAGAAGGTGTTGATTGATGCGTAGAGCATAGGTGCTCCATGAATCGGTCACCAAGTCTGCGCTTGGTCTCTCCGATATAACGGAGACCACATCTGGAGCAACAAATGCAATAGACCACATTAGAAGACATACAGGTGAATCCCTGCTGGATTTGGAATGATTGTTTGGGGCCTTGGACAGAGGAGAGAGGGGAGGTGTAGGGGCAGGTGTGGCACTTCCTGCGGTTGGAGGGAAAGGGGCCAGATGTGGAGGAAAGGTTGGTGGGGTGTGTGGAGCTGATAAGGGAGTCACGGAGCGAGTGGTCCCTATGGAAGTCAGAGTAGGGTGGGGAAGGAAATATGATTTTGGTGGTGGGGTCTAACTGCAGATGGCAAAAATGGTGGATGATGATGCATTGGATTTGGAGATTAGTGGGTGGTACCGAGGACCGGGGGACTCTAACCTTAGTGTTTGTTGCTCGGGGGTTTGAGCGCAGAAGTGTAGGAAATGCAGGAGATGTGGTTGAGGACATTATGAATCACGGGAGGGGGGAGAATTATGGTCCTTGAAGTAGGAGGACATCAGATATCCAGGAGTAGAACGCTTCATCCTGGGAGCAGATGTGGCAGAGGCAGAGGAATTGGGAGTATGGGATTACATTCTTGAATCTATTAATCGGAGCTTCCTACCCCCTTCCTAGTCCTGACGCAGGGTCCAGTCCTGAAATGCAACTTTGTGCCTCGGATGCTGTCTGACCTGCTGTGCTCCTCCAGCTCCACATTTTGACTATCTTCCAGCATCTGCAGTCCTTCCTCTCTCCTGTGTAGTGTACTCAGTTTCCCTTAAATTGTGTTCTTTGGTGGAGATGAATAGCAGAAGTTGGCCCCCTACCTGGGAAGCACCTATCATTTAAGGTTCACATCAATGCAGATAACCAACACTGCATCCACATTTGAACACCCAAGGACAAAGAGGACAGTGACATTTGTGCTGATACCATGTACGAGATATTTGTTCTTCCAACTCTTTTATATGGCTCGAAAACTTGGAGTATGTATGGATGCCACCTGAAGGTCCTGGAGAAGCAATGCTATTGCATGATTCTCCACAGCAGCTGAGGACAGGCATACTAACAAACAGTGTCCTTGAATAAGCCTATAGCACCAGCATTAAAGCCATGATAATCTGAAGCCAACTTTGCTGGGCTGGCCAAGTACCCAAGTGCCAAAGCAATCTCTGCCCAGCTCAAGGAAGACACTCTAACAGGACGACAATCAAGAAAAATGTTTCAAGGGCTTCCTGAAGGCTTTCCTCAAAATAAAGCAGCAACTTGGTGGAATTTCCTGTACAAACAGGCACAATTTTAAGACCCGCTGGCAAGATGAAGCATAGAAAGGAACCCAGAGAAAAGGAAAGGAATGCCAATGTTTAAAGCCAAGGACCAATTCCACCTCTCAGAAGCACCTGCCAAATGTTGTTTGGAGATGCAGCTCCAAGATTGGGCTCAGCAGCCACTAAAAAACCCACAGAACCCATGGCCAGCATCAGAATTTCCTAGGTGGACAGTCAGTCATTCTCAATAACAAGTGATTCCAATGACTAATTCTGGCCCAGTGAAATTTCAATACTAAAGCAATGAAACCATGGATATACTCACTGGTTCAGTTTTTCTTCAGCATGAACTTTCAGAGCTTGGTATCTTTGCTCTTCTTTTTTAATCCTTGCAAGATAATCCTGGGCACATTTCTTTAAGGATTCTTCATTCTAAAGATTTCAGCAAAATCCAAATTATGCATCAACATCGGACTTTTGTTACGTTTCTTCACACTTGGGCACAGCTACTTTTAAAAGGGACCGATAGGCATTATATGGCAAATGAGCTACTGAAGAGAAAAAGAAAGTGTATTTTGAAAAACAGATTGGAAGATGATTAGGTCCAAATCTTTAAGTCAAAATAGAGATTATAGATGATAAAAAGACATCAAATGGAATTCTGGGTTTATGAGGCACTGTAAAGTTCCCTTTGATTGAAATCGACGATATCAGTTAAAACAGTTTCAGCATTGCGGACAGGCATTTAAGGGTCCAACATCCCAGTCCTAGGACCTCTTGCAGAATTCTTCAGGATAGTGTCATTTTTCATAACTTATCTATCGAGGTCAGAAGGCAGCATGTTCACTAGTGTTTAGAAAAAAATTACCATTTATTATTTCAGATATTGAAATCAGTGTTTACATAAAGCAAGATTTGGACAACATGAAGGATTGAGCTGATGGGTAGGCATGTAACATTTTGAGCTACACAAGTGCCTGGCAATGGCTTTTGCTGACAACCCATACCGCCACTGAATTTCCAAAATACACCAAAAATATATGTTACAACTGACCAGAAACTAGACTAGCCATTATGACTGCACCTAAAAAGATCAGGTCAGAGATAGGAATTCTGTAGCAACTAATATCACAGCATCTGTCCTCTAACTACAATGCTGAAAGTCAGGATCAACCACTGTGGTTAGATCAATGCAGCTCCTGCAAAATCTGAAAACTATCCTAGACAAAAAAAGTAGCCCACATAATTTATACCATATCTATTACCTTAAATATACACTCCCTAAAATAACAGACACACAAGTACCATCAGTAGTACACCTACACAAGGTGTACTGTAGCAACTCACTAAGCCTCCTTTAATAGGACCTTCCAAACACCACCAAAAGTAGAGGAAAATCAGACATGGAATCATCACCACATTCACCTCCAGACCCCACACACTATTCCGATTTGGAATTATATAGATGTCACTTCAATGACAACAGGCTTTTTAATTTTAAAATAGTGGCAACTCCCTCCCCAATTGCTGTAGTTTGACTACAGAACATGAACTGCAGCCATTCATAATGGTACTTGAGGATAGACAATGAACATTGGCCTTGTATGATATTCACAATGAAGCACTTTTAAAGTACAAGGCAATGCACTTTAGCAGAACATATTGTGGTAATGTCACTGGTCTAGTAACTAAATGTCATTAGACTATTGGCATAGTTGCAAATATCCACTTGGTTCACTAATGAACAGGAATGAAGGAAACCTGCCTTCCTTACCTGAAGTTTACATGTGAAATGAGACCCACAGCAACATTGACTCTTTCGTCCTTAGAAATGGCCTAGCAAGACACTGGAATATGAGCCTTGTCAGTGACATTCACATTCCACGAATGGAAACAAACTTGTCAATCCCCTTCATGTTCACATACTTGAGTTAGTCAGTGATTTTTCATTCTGCAGAACAATGTTTGCTTACTAATATTTTATAACTGGGTGAAAATGAAACAAGTAGGCTTTTTTATTTAAAATCAGCTTGTTTGGGCAAGTTATTAAATACCTCTGGAGCAGGTGAGACTTGATCCCAGGCCTTTTAGGCCAGAGGCAGAGTAGTTCACTGTTATACAGTGCACAACTTGACAACCAACTTAATGGATTTGGGTTTCAAATTATTTCCTTTAGATAGGCATTAATGCAGCCAAATAGTTATAGGGTGGAGGGATTTTACTACAACATTATAGATTGGTACCCATTGCAGCAAAAAGGATGTTGAGATTTGATAGAGGTACACAAGTTGATAGGTTTAGATAAAAAGTAGACAAAGGAGAAGCTGTTCAATTAACTGATAGTATAAAAGGAATACAGAAGAGATTTAAATGTTGGGCAACATATGTGGGACTGGGGATTGTCAACATTTAAAAGCAACAAAATGGTGATGAACTGGAACCTGCTGCTTATTTAGTGCAAGTAGAAATGCAGATGATCAATTACTTCCAAAAAAGCTGAATGAGCACTTGAGACAAGCCTGCAGGGCTTTGAGGATGCAGACAAGGGAGTGGGTGCTAACTGGATTGCTCTACAGACAGCAAACATGAACCAAAGTGGTATCTTCTGCGCTATAATAACACATCAATATTAAAAATTTAGATGAAAACGTTATACCAACACTTCCAGGATACTGGTTCAGCAGAGGGCAATGGAGGGAGGCATGCATCACTTCAACACATACATTTGAGCCTGGAAGCAGTCACCTGCACTAAAGAGCAGATTGTTGTGGGCCTGGTATCAAGGAGTGCTTTAGCCCCAAACATTACATCACTGTAGTGCTTCCCTCCCTCCTGCTCTAACCAAAAAAAATCTCTTGGAAAATTTTTGGTTGCAGAACGAGGTGTTGGCTTGAGGCACTTCGGTGAGCAGCGGCTCAGCAAAAAGTACATGTAAGCTCAGATAAAGTCCTTTTAAATTTCCTCTTTAGTTTTAGAGCATTTGAGATGGTCGTTAGGGCAGTGGTATGCTCCTCCTGCAGGATGTGGGAGATCAGGGAGACTGCCATCGTCCCTGATGACTACACTTGTGAAGTGCATCCAGCTGCAACTCCTGGGAGACCGTGTTAGGGAGCTGGAGCTGGATGCACTCAGGATCATTCGAGATGCTGAGCGCATCATTGAAAGGAGTTTTACTGAGGTGGTCACACCAAAGATGCAGGCTGGGAGTAGCTGGGTGACCACCAGGAAAGGCAAAAGGGAGTAGGTAGAGAGTACCCCATGTGGCTATTCCCCTTGAAAACCAGTACACAGTTTTGGATACTGTTGGGTAGGTGTGCAGCAATGACCGATCAGGGAAAGCAGCAGTAGCCAGGTTGGTGGTTCCTTCTTTATCCAGCCTGTTCCTTTATAACCTACCAGACAATTACTTTTCCAACTTCAAAATCTTTTATGAAGGGGGCTCAATTTTTCATCTCTACTTTTCCTTTTCACAGAGGACATACCTGGTCTGTGCTCACATTCTTCAAATGAAGCCCATTGTTCACTTAGTGGCTTGTCTGCCAAATTTCAATTCCAATTTGATTCAGATCCATCCTTACTTATTGAATTTGGCTTTCTGCCAGTTAATGCTACATTGGTGATCTTCATCCATTGCCAAACTAGACACTGGGACACAATAACTGGCCTCCAACAATGTTCCTCTACCTGACCATTGATCCACCTCAATCCCAAGAAATAGATCCAACAACACCTTCTCTCAATGAAGCTTAAATATTGAAAAATTCTCCTGAACAACCTAGAAACTCTTGCCTGTCAATTTTGATCCAATAATCCATTTTAAAGTATTTATAGTTTAGGATGATGTTTCTTCCTAAGCAGCCTTCAATTTGCTTCTCAATATCCACTCAATCCAGATCACAATTCAGAAGGTTGCAAAATTGTAATTCAGCATATTGTATTAAACTACTTTGGAGGTACACTTACTTTTTTGTAACCCTCAATTGCTTCCTTTTGTTTTTCAAATCGCTTAAACAACTCAGAAAATGCGTTTTCAACCGAGTTTAGTTCTTTCAAAGCTTGTAGCTTTTCTTCTGTTAGTTTTTGCATCTCTGCCTTGGCCAATTCGCTTTTCTTGCCAGATTCCTCTAAATTCAAAAATAACCAACAAAATGTTATTTCCACACAATTTAGAAACTCTATTCAGTACATCAAATACTAAGCTTCCCAAGAACACATCAGTCAGTCAAACTTTATTGCAAAAGGAGTCTGAAGAGGTGACCAAGATAATAGAACTCACCCATCATTTGAAAGGTCACCTCGGAATATTCGTTTACAATTTTTCTAGGAGATAACATACAAAATATTGTTAGCCTCTAAAAGATGAAAACAATAGGCAAAACATCTAAATGATATCCAAAGGTTACAAGCAAACCTTGCAAATAAAAAGGTTCTTACTTCATTTCCGCGCATTGTGCAGAGCTTTCCTCAGCTTTCTGTTTCCATTCTAAAGTCACGGCTTCCTGACGACTAACCTGTGAAAAAGATTTGTTTTCAAGAAATGAATCCAAGTTCCCAAAGTCAGTTTATAAAGGAGCTGAACATAAAAAAATTTGACTGCTATAACAAGTGAACTTGAATGTGAATCAAAAAATTCAGGTTGTCTATCAAGTAGTCAAGCAAGGAATGCCAAGATGGAAAAAAAAAAAGGGTTACGATTTTCACAATGTCACAACAAAGGAGTGGAGAGGATGCAGTTTAAAAAGAGGCACCCAGTGAACATTAACAAGGCAAGAACACAGTTGGAACAAAAATACAAGTTGCTGGAAAAAGCTCAGCAGGTCTGGAAGCATCTGTGAAGGAAAATCAGACTTTAATGTTTCAGGTCTGGTGACACTCCCTCAGAACTGGACCCAAAATGTTAACCAAGTTTTCTTCACAGATGCTGCCAGACACACTAGGCTTTATCAGCAACTTCTGCTTTTGTTCCTGATTTACAGTATCTGCAGTTCTTTCAGTTTTTAAGAATACAGTTGGGGCCATCTAGTCCCCAGGTGGCTCCAACATTGAGATCATGGCCGATCTACAGCACAACTTATTTTATTCCACTTCACTCATGACTTCAGTTAATCAAGTCTCAGTACAATGGCAAAATACTCAAATGCAACGTACGGGAAAAATTCAAAAGCCTGAAAGCATCCGAGTTTTGAACAATCAAATTATATTCGATGCTGCCAAAGCCACTAAATATCTCTAACTGTTTCCAAAAAAATTTGAAGGTTTGAAAACAATTATCTATCAAGAGTTATTCGCAGACAAGTTTCAAATTCTTACCATCTTTACAAGTAGTGCTTTCTAATCTCACAAAAAACCTTGGTCTCTAATTTTTAGACCATACTCCATAGTTCTGGACACCAAACAAGCAAAAACAGGGTAATTTCTCCTCCATCTATCACATCACCCACAATATCCAACTGTAATTAAGTCACCACTCTACCTTCTAAATTTCAGGGCAGCCAAGTCTAGATACAAGACAATGGCAGGAAATTTCCATCTCCATTGTTCAGACGGGCAGATTAAGGAAAAATTTAAAGGTATTAGATTAGACGGAGGGCTCAGTTGGCCTAATCTCTAGAGCAGACGGTCATCTAGTCCAAGTTGGTGCTATTTGGGTCAGCTGCCATACTTTGGAAATGAGGTGGTAAACTATGGCATTAACTTAGCTGTTAAAAGTTGATTCACAATTTCCAGTGCACAACACTGTGGCATGATAGTAATACCAAAAGTCTGGATTATTAATCCAGAGGTCCAGGTTAATATTGTGACCTGGGCCCAAATCTCAACATAGCAGCTGCTGGCATTGATGCAATTTTTTAGTAAAAATCTGAAAGCAAATGTCAGTAACGGTGACTATGACATGACTGCTACAAATATCCATCTGGTTTACCAACATCCCTGAGGGATGAAAAGGTAGTCACACATACTCTGTGGCCTCAATTGACTCCAGGTCCACAGCAATATTTCAATCAACTGCCCTCAAATAGCCATATAAGCTACTCAAGGGCAATTATGGAAGGGCAACAAATATTGTCCCAGTCATAGAATGTCATCTCAATGAAAGAACTAAGTTTAAAAAGATGCAATTCAGAAATATTAAAGGGGGGGGGGGGGGGGGGGAGGTGCAAAATAATATAGATTTTGTGGAAGTTTGGGGAGGACAGTAGTTAAAATAAAGTGTTATCAAGATCAGCATTTATTGCATATTCCAAAATTTCACACAAGCGGCACCTTCTTGAACCCCTGCAGTGCATGAAAATCAACTTTTTAAGATACAACTGAGTGGCTCATTAAGCCATTTGGTTCAACTATTTCATTGTGGGTTTGACATCACATTGGCCATACAAGGCAACGATGGCAGGTTTTCTTGCCAAAAGGGAACATTACCGAAGATGGAGTTCTTCCATAGAGGAAAGAAGAAACAAATCTAACTATTTCAATCAATACTAACATTTCAATCTAGAAATATCTAAAATTGAATTTTAATTTCCCAATGGCTACGAAGCAATGTGAACTCCACTCTGGATTGTGCCTAACTGGAGTTATTCATTACACTACAATACACCCACAATATATAGACAGTTTGTAGGCAAGATGACACCGATGTATAGCAATTCTTTATGAGTTCTCTAAAGTTCTTAGAATTGTTCTCCTCTTTTAAGCCTCAAATTCACCATCTCTGCTGCAGTAACATTGTATTCCTCGCTCTGTTCTATTACGCTAATTAACTCTGCTATGATCTGCCTGTACTGCACACAAAACAAAAGCTTTTCACTGCAGCTAGGTACATGTGACAATAATACATAAAATCAAAGCTAGGGTATAAAAACATCTTTGCACAAAACTACTTAATCCTCATCTGGAATGCACTCATGGAGAATAATGGATGTGTCACCAAATTGATGTCGTTTTGCCTGAACTACAACTTGCTTTAAAAAAAAAACTTAAGAATTTGAAAGGACAAATGTTCAAGCTTTGTCATTAAAACTAAAAATAAAATCAGGAAAAATGTCCAAGTTAACATAAAACTTTAAAATATTGATTGATTCTAACTGGCTGACTTTTGCAAAAGAATCCTGACTGCTCCAACAGCTAAACTAACCACCAACTGGAGATCAGTCAAGCTAATAATGTGGCTTATTTACACAGGCAACAAAATATACTTTCGTATAAAGATCACACTCAGAAAATATAATGTTAATTGTGTCATGGAACAAGTTTAATCTGGAGTCAATTTGCTGCCTAATCAACATGTTTGCCTTGTGTAAATTAAATATTATGCATTGATGCACTTGCATTATTGAAGCGGTGTCCTAATGATGCAAGACATTGCTTTTCACCAAAATTTATACTGTCAAGCAACTGAGAGACTTGTATTTAAGATGAAATCAGCAACAAAAAAAAAAAAAAAAATTAAACCGTGTATAATGAGAAGCCCCGAAATCTCACACTTACCTCTTCCTTTACAGCCAGAATTGCAGCATCCATGTCCTTTTGGCTGTATTTTAGTACTTCAATAATGGCATCCTCAGTAGGAACATTAACGGATGTGAACTCAACTGCTGGATTGATAATGGATGGCACAGGGATCAAGGTAGTAATATCCTAAAAGTTTTAAAAACAGATTTACAACTTTCAGGTACCATCTTCTGACACTAGATCAAAAGGTTAAAACAACCAATTATGCAGAGATTCCTGGTCGAACAAAACCGGCTGTTATGAAATAAAAGAGCTCCGAGATTGAAATTACATCTCACTAACAATTATTTCTTACAATGAAACCACTTACAACCATTTCTTCTGAATTTTCAGCATGATGACTAGATCTGGTTTCAGGGTTTGAAGTGCTTGAACTGTAGATTAAAGAGAAAATGTTTTTTTAAAAAAAAAAAATAAGTGGCCAAACACATTTACTTTTACTGACTCCATTTACGCGAGTATCTCATTCCTACACTTAATCCTACATTCAGAACTAGGTATATTAGGAACTAGCAACTTAAAATGTCTAGGCATAGTACATTAGCAGATAACTAGGCACTCATACAAACTCAAAACAGACCAGAGCACTCACTAGCACAGAGTGCTTCCTTAGCATGTAGGATTGCCACTTATCCTCCCTCCAAGTCCAAAAAAATGCAAAAGCAAGGAACGAGTAATTCTTCTATTTTTAGACTGCTCTCTTATGGAGATGAAATTAGCTAAGAAATGGAAACCTTCAGCTGAGATATTTGAGGGGTGCTGGAGGACTGGAAGGTGACTGATGTTGTGCCTTTAAGAAAGGCTGTAAGGAGAAGCCTGAAAACTATAGACCGGTGAGTCTGACATCATTGGTGGGCAAGTTGTTGGGGGGATTCGGAGAGATAGGATTTACATGAATTTGGAGAGGTAAGGACTGATTAGGGATAGTCAGCATGGCTTTGTGTGGGACAGTGTCTCTCAAACTTGGAGTTTGAGGATGTAAGCAAAAAAAATAAAAAAAAAAAAAAAAAAAGACAAGGGCAGAGCAGTAGAAGTTGTCTGCATGGACTTTAGTAAAGCCTTTGAGGAGGTTGCACATGGTAAACTGATCAGCAAAGTTAGTTAAGTTACCTGGGATTCAGGGATACAAAATCAGCTTGACAATGGGAGATAGAGAGTGGTGGTAGTAATAGTGGTGGTGAAGGGTTGTTTTTCCAGACTGGAGGCCTGTGACCAGCTGTGTTCAGCAGGAATCAATTCCAGCTCCACTGTTTGTCATTTATATGACACTACGTGGATGAGAATTTAGGAAGCATGGTTAGCAAGCTTGTGATGACACCAAAATTGGTGGTATAGTTGACATTGAAGGTTACCCGAGATTACAAAAGGTTCTTGATCAATTGGGCTAATGAGCCGAGGAGTGGCAATGGAGTTTAATTTGGATGTATATGAGATAGTGCACTTTGGCAAAACAAACTAGGAGGACTTACATGGTTAATGATCAGGCCCTGGGTAGTGTTGTCGAACAGAGACCTAGGGGCTCAGGTACACATAGTTCTTTGAAATTTGCGTCACGCATAAAAAGGACGATCAAGGCGGCGTTTAGCACACTTTCCTTCATTGCTCAGACCACGGAGTATGGGAGTTAGGACATAGTGTTGAAGTGGTACATAATGTTGCTGAGGGCACTTTTGGAGTACATTTATGGATGTCCAGCTATGGGAAGGGGATTATTAAATTGGAGAAAGTGCAGAAAAGATTATGGCTGGGACTGGAGCGTTTTAAGCTATAAAGGAGAGCTTGGATAGACTGGGACTTTCCCACTGGCATGTAGGAGGCCAAGAGGTGACTTTGAGGTTTATAACATCAAAAGATGAGGTGAAGAGCAAAGGTCTTTTCCTTAGGTTGTAGGAGTTCAAAACTAGAGGGCATGTTTTGCAAGGAAAGAGAGAAGAAAAATTTAAAGAGGAACTTGAGGGGCAACCTTTTCGCAGAGGGTGGTTCAAATGTGGAATGAACTACCCAAGGAAGTGGTAGATGCAGGTATGGTGACAACATTTAAAGTCAACATTTGGCTAGGTAAGTGAATGGGAAGACAGTTTAGAGGAATATGGGCCAAATACAGGCAAATGAGACTAGTTCAGTTTAGGGAAACTTGGTCAGCATGGATGAATTGAATCAAAAAAAAGTCTGTTTCCATGCTGTATGACTAATTTTATTAGGATGAGAAATACTGCATGCTACAGAAACAGTGGATCAAAATTAAACTAAAAAATAGAAATCTAGCAAACACCTAAGATTCAACAGAATTCAAAGCCATTAAGTTTTAGACTTAATTCTCACTGAATTCAAAAATTCTATTACATAAGAACACACGATTATAGAAGTACAATTCTATTGGTCAGTTTAAGTAACTTCAGTAAATTTCAGGTGCCCGTCAGCTCCACAAAAGATTCAAAAATTAAATAGTTGATTTACCCATTAGTTGTTCCATTAGTCAAACCAGGATTAGTCTCAATGTGCCGAACAGGACTCTCTCTTAAAAGAGGATCAAATTTTAGGTAGAGAGATTGCTTTCGTAAAGCAGAGGCATGGAACTGAAAATAATAGAAAACTACATTAGGTTCAGTATTTAAAATTTCTTTGGAACTAGATCTTTGCTGTTATGCAAAGTATTAACTTGCCCTCTCACCAAACACGTTTTTAACAAAAAAAAAAAAAAAAAGGTGGAAGTAAAGAAATGCTCTTAGTGCACGGCAAGGTAAGACCACAAACATAACAGCACATTTGGGACTATGCTGCAATTCTAACGTAGTGTGCCACTCTACTACAGAGTTAGACTGGTTCAATAAAGTGGGCAGTTAAAACCAGTTACAATCTTATTTGGGTGTACTAAGAGGATAGATGATTGGTAAGTGGGAAGAAAACGAGAATGGATGAAATTATCTTAAATTCCAAGATTGCAATTTGCGTCAGTAGCATCTTGAAAACAACACCTAATAACAAGGTTATGTAGACTTGTCTATAGAGGAAGCCCAGGGTTAAATACAAATTAGAGAGACTTGCCAATGTTATTACTTGAGCATGAGCAATCATAATAGTAATTTCACACACCTATACCTCTTCCCAATACTTCATCCATGCGTGGACACAAAATTTAAAAAAAAAAGGCTTAACTGTAGTAGAGCATCAATAGTTGAAGCAAACATTAGGAAAAAGGTAAGTAAGTGCTCACTGAACAAGAACTACGGTTACACTCCAGTCGTCAAAATGAAAAATTTAAACTGCAGTAATACAGCATACAAGCTATTTTTAAAGCAAGCAATAGTATAGACAAGTGTCTTTGGTTAACAATTACCCAACATGAAATGAAGTATTGGATTATGCTGGTTTACTACTCAAGTATCTCAGTAATTAGTGAATGCCAGCATTTGCAATTGATGAAAATTGAAACAGGTCACAGAGCAGAGTAAATTCATTACTAAACAAGTTTCCATACTTACTGAAGAGTGACCAAACTGCTCCAGGTAATCAATTTCTATAGGATCATTAAAAGCTGGAACTGTTTTAAAAACAAAATCAAAATCAAGACAACAACAGTTGAAGATACAGATTGAATCATTATCATGCTTGTTGAGAATTTAAGTTCAGTGCGTGGTACCTTAGACATGATATCAGTAAAGAAACATGGTGTCATGTTACTTAATAGCCAATTCAGGTATAATTGGATCAATCAACTCAAATGGCCAAACAAGTCACTCAAACTGCAGAGAACTATGGTGGTTCCACAAGACCACTTCCTCGAGACTAGATAAGTTCTGTTTGTCTTGCCCATCCAAAAGTTTCACATTCTCAAAAAACACATTCACTTTCAATTCTTTAACATAAAAGACTTAAAGTGCAGATGTAATTTTTTGTGGACTCATTCTACAAACTTGAGGAAGTTTTCCTTCAAAAAGTTTGTAGAGAGTGCATGAACCCTTTTTGTTTGTCATCCAACTTTGAGCCTTTATCCTAAGGGACTTTCTCTTCTCTACCCCTTATTTGAAAAGCATTAATTTCTTTGCTGTGATCTGAATATCTAGGTACCAATTAGCATTAGTTAACCCTTCAGCAAATCTAAGCCATTATTAAATTTGAATTGAAATATTAGATTAACTAAAATGGATGGCCTTTGAGAAAGACAGACATTCGTGTCAAAGAACAAGTCATTAGAGGATTGGACTCAGTCAGAAAATCAGTGTTTCCAACATAATCAGCTGGAGATTTTTGCTCTAGATCAAAATCAAACCGGGCACAGGTGGAATGTACAAGCACAGAGAAGTTAACTATTTGGTAAGAGACAAGAAAAGAAAATTAAAATGGAGAGATCTTTGAGCCAAATGCTTGAAAAACCTATTTCAAAATGATTCACAAAGAAAAGCCTATGGTCCCAGCTTAACCACTTCTTAATAGGTCTGATTCTTGACTCTTAATTCTCAGTTCAGAAATTGGGCATGTTAAACCTGAATTACAAGTATTTACTTGTGCTTTCTACTCATAACGAAGACATTCATATCAATCTTTATTTGGTTTGGCTTGAGAAGACCAATGGAAGATGCTTCTGTTTTGATGAAGTTGCTGTCATTTCCAGCCGACTCCCTAAAGCTGCTTAATAAATTCTCTTCAAGAGAACAGCAAACAAGCAAAACAAACAAATTGCTGGTGAAACTCAGCAGGCCTGGAAGCATTTTTGGGGAAAAAGCATAGTTAATGTTGAGTCTGGTGACAGTTCATCAAGACCGAAGTCCAATGGGACTCTTCAAAAGGATCATATTGGACCTAAATGCCAACTTGCTTCTCTACACAGATGCTGTCAGCTTTGCCAAGATTCTCCAGTGACTTGTTTTTATGTCACAAGTTTGCGTGGCTCAGCAAATCCCTAATGTCATTTTTCACACCTGAACAAAGACAAAGACTTCATGTAGGGTGACAATAAAGCTCCAGACATGGAAAAAACAATTGCTCCAGTCAGAAAAGGAAATGGCCACTTAGCTACAAAGTAATGCTAATCGCATTATTAGTCAGAAGAAACATGGACCTGAAAAATCCCCCACCATAGATGCTGCCAGATCTTGGAAGTCACTCAGTACCTTTCCAGTTAAATTTTAGAAAAAGGCATCATCCAGAGTACTTCGCTTGTTATAATGCTGATGGCAGCTGGTACATTAGTCAAAAGAGACAGGACTCACAACAAGACAAGGCAAGGCCTTCCCTAGAAGACAGGAGTGGCATACAGAGCAGGGTAATCTTTGACAGTCACCAGATATCATGACACAATACAACAGTACTGTTAGAAGTTTGAAGTGACTTAGAAAAGAACAGAATCCTTAGTGTGGAAACAGGCCATTCAGCCCATCAATGGCACACTGACCCTCAGAGCATCCCACCCAGACCTACCCTAGTAACCCTGTATTTCCCTTGGCTAGCCCACCTAGCCTGCACATCTCTCAACACTATGGGACAATTTAGCATGGCAAATCGATCTTGCACATCTTTGGATTGTGGGAGGAAACTGAAACACCCAGAAGAAACCCACGCAGACAGGGAGAATGGCGACTGTCTGTGTAGAGTTTGCACAAAAAGGTGGAATTGAACCTGGGTCCCTGGTACTGTAAGGCAGCAGTGCTAACCACTGAACCACTATGCCACTTTCTAAGCAGTGGGTCATGAGGCAGCAATGCCTGGATGAAGTTCGAGCAACTGCATGGATCAATTTAGTCCTTCCATATAAACCTAGTGGGCATGGCCTAATTGGCTCTTAGGAACTCTATTCTTGCCCAGAAAATCAATTGAGTTGGAAAAGTGGGCACTTTAAGTAGCATACTCTAATTTGCTGAAAAAATATCCCTATTCAACTAAAAAACCCCACCACTAAGTTCAGTAATTTCCAAACACTGAAATGGGGTGAGTGCAGGAGGAAAAAAGGCAGAACAGCCTTAGACCGAGGTGGAGGAGTAGAACTCCTGAGCTGGAGCTTGTCCGCTCCATCCATTTCTTCCACCCTTCCTCCTCCCATCCGATTCTTGGCCAGAATTGGCAATGCCCAGGGTGAAACAGCATAGACTTGGACTCCCAGCACAGGCTCGGACTCCTAGCTTGGTGAAGCCCGATGCAGTCTGGTTTAGAACGTACATACAACATAGAACAGTACAGCACAGTACAGGCCCTTCGGCCCACTATGTTGTGTCGACCTATTATCCTACTAAGATCAATCTAACCTGCATGCATTTTACTATCCTCCATGTGCCTATCCAAGAGTTGCTTAAACGTCTCTAAAGTATGACTCCACTACCACAGCTGGCAGCGCATTCCACACACCCACCTCTGTGAAGAGCCTACTTCTGATATCTCCCTTGTACCTTCCTCCAATTACCTTAAAATTATGCCCCCTCGTAATAGTCATTTCCACCCTGGGAAAAAGTCTCTGGCTATCCACTCTATCTATGCCTCTCACCATCTTGTACACCTCTATCAGGTCACCTCTCATCCTTCTTCGCTCCAATGAAAAGGAGCCCTAGCTCCCTCAACTTTTCCTCATAAGACCTGCCCTCCAGTGCAGGCAGCATCCTGGTAAATCTCCTCTTCACCCTATCTAAAGCTTCCACATCCTTCCTATAATGAGATGACCAGAACTGAACACAATATTCCAAGTGCGGTCTAACCAGGGTTTTACAGACTTATTTTAACTCACATATTTTCCTAATTTATTGCTGAAATTTTTATTTCTTTATTTTGCTAACTTCTTTTCCCCTCAAGAATTTGTACTTAATCTGTAGCTAGATACCTTGGTACCTCAGATGGTGCCAAAAGTGGTGAATTGTAAACTTGTCATTGTACTCATGTGAGTATGTGATAATAAAGCTAATTCTAATTCTTAAGAAAAAAGTAGTTCCTTGCAAAAAGTATATGCATGGTGTTGAAAAAATCAGTCACATTTAAACAAGGAGGGTTAGTTCTTTGCAGTTTGGTATTATATGGCTACCAAGCAAAACTATCAACTACACAATATTAAAAGTCTAAACTAAGACAGTGCACAACAGGATTTGAAGTCAGTCACAAAGAATTTAATTCCCTTATTTTACAAGTTCATTTTCTAAATGAACGATAATATTTTATGCACAAATCAGAGCTCCTACCTCTGGTCAGAATAATCTTCCACTGATCTCAAGCTCAAAATCAAGTCTGACATGAACAGCAGAGAATACAAGTAAATACTGAACAGCTGGATTGCAGATTTAACATGCCCAATTATTGAAGTTAAAAGAATTAAGCAGGAGTCAAAACCCAGGCCTACATTTTATAAAAAAAAAAATTGATTTACTCCTTGACTGACAAGGTAGCAATCTTACTTTGGTCAGCAGGCCTGAATTCTTCAGTTTCACTTTCAATAACATCATTACGGAACGCAGAGGATCCTGGCACAGAGAAGCCAAAGTCAATACCATCCAGTATTTCTGCATCAGTCATTGTTGATGGTACTCTGCCATCAGCAATTATTCGCTCGAAATTGGGCGTCAGCCTCATATCAATATTTTCAGCTTCAGGTGAGGAGACAGAATCCTAAGAGAGTGAATAAATTTGTCAAGCCATGGTTGGAAATCTTCAGAAACCACATGCAGCTTCTGATGCACTGATGGACTCTTCAAGCTATATCCTTGTCTTTTGCCATCCCCAACTTATTCTTAAATTATTCAAAATGATGCCATTGAGGCAACAAAAGCTTTTCACTGTATTTTATCATATTACTGTAAAATACACATGGCAATAAAATCAAAAAGTTATATGGCACTGGTCATTGCAGTAGTCCAACTAGTGACTATTAAATTCACGAATCAAGCTATTTAAACCGATCAAGGTTTTTCAAAAAAAGAGATCTTAACCATAACTATCTCTAGGGTAGAAGTCATAGGAAATAGTTAATGCCACGTAGTCTACTAAATCTGATTTGCTTAGGAGGAGGGAGATAGTGTTTGTGTTGGAAATCAGCATAGTGAACTTCACTCAATTGCATTTAAAAAGGAGTTCAAAGGAGGTGGCTGACTAAACCAAAATTTATTGCTCATCTGTAGTTGCATTGCTGTCTTTTTGAAAAGCCCAAGTCTTTAGAGGTGTAAGGACATCTGAAACCGTTATGAAGTTCCAGGATTTTGACCCAGCAGTGAATGGAAGTGCTATAGATCAGAGCCACACAAAAAAGGGGAAAATTGGAGGAGGATCATGCAAGTCGTGGCTTTCCAAAACACCTGCTGACTTTGTCTATCTGGAGATCGCAAATAGGAAGTCACTGTTAAAAAGTGAGCCCGTGCTACTACAATGCATGCTCTTGATTGTACACTGCTGAGGCAGTGGAGGGAACAAAAGTTGAATCATGCAAATTGTGACCTAGGTGATGTCAAGCTTGTTGTCGGAGCTGCATTCATCCAGGGTAGTAGGATTATTCCATCACACCTGACGTGTTATGTACATGGTGGACAGGCTTTGGAGACTGTCACTTGCTGCAAGATTGCAAGCCTCTGACCTGCTGTCGTAGAGATGGTATATATGGCTAGTCCTATACAGTTTCTGGTTAACGGAAACCTCCCAACCATCTTCAAGATATGATGAGTGGGAATTCAGCAAATGTAATATCATTGAATGTCAAGGGAGTGACGGCCCTTCCTTTGCTCCAACTCCCTTGTAATAAGGCATACGTTCCATTCGTCTTTTTAATACTTGCAGCGTCTGTCTACATGCTGACTTGTATGCACAAGGACACCCAGATCCCTCTGCAGTATAGTCTATTGGAGAGAGTGTGTATTTACATAATCTGCTTGCTGTTCTTCATGCCAGCCTCATTACGCTTCATTTAATCAGAAGTTACAGTACAGGAGGCTATTCAGTCCATTGTTTCTGCCATTTTGCCTATTCAGCATACATTGTTTTACAGAATTCCCATCTTCGTTTAGTCAACCCATCAACAAAATTTGCTTGAAATATAATGAATTTCTTCCTTCAAGTCAGATCCAATAGCAATTGTGGGAGGCCCCAGTGATGCAAGCAGCACTCCACTAGATTGTTTACAATCATTGCAACTTCAAGCATTTGGGTGTGGTAAGTGTCACACTGGACTAGTAAATATTTGGAAATTCAGACCCACCTGTTGAAAGGGAATTGCTGAGACCTCCATCATTGGTTTAACTTTACAAGTGTTTCTGAAAATATTAAGATCAGTACAATTATTTTAGATCCATAAAGTCTAAAAATAGATAAAGCAAAAGGGGATTTGAAATGGACAAACTTCCATGTTTAGGATGAAAAGAATGGGAAGAAGGGAATTATAATAGCTTTTATTCACAATACAAAAACATGAATGCATCATAAGCAACAGATAGCAGGAACACACAAGGCCCCCCTATTAAAAAGTATTCCCATCAAGCACGGCTACAGCCATAACAGCCATTTAAAAATCTACACTGACGCAGAACAGTTTCTGATGACTTAACTGAGGGATAGGGAATGTGACTGTTTAAAAAGCTGAAAAACCATCTTGAAATGCCAAAGGAAAAAGAGCCACCCTCCTATGAAAGGCAAAAATATTCACATTTGTAAACAGGTAGTAAGAAAGACAGGAGTGAGAACAAGAGCAGTTAGACATATAAAAGCCATATGCTACTCAAAATGTTGATCATCTTAAAAATTAGGATCATGGATTCTTTCCCCATAGTTTAAACTGGCAGTGCATTTGCTTAGGCTAAACTCAAGTTTGGTAAATCAGCAATCAGGAAGGGTTTCTAACTTTGGAACATACAATCGTTTCTGCAGCTCATTTAAAATCTTCCTTACTCTTTGCTATTAAACAAAATAATTAATTAAAATAGAAGAGATCTATTGTAAGAGTTTATTCTCAGGCTCTGGGCATCTTGGAAAGTCAACCATCCCTTTTCAAGGACAGATAAAAAGTTAGAGGATAGGTGCCTTCTGAGCTTTTGTGATCTGATGAAAGTACAGTTATTAGATAGCTAGCTCCAGGATTTCTTTTTCCATGACTAAATTGTTGATCCTTTCTTGTCAAGTTTGTGTTCTTGCACATATGCAACCCAAAGCTGTAGTCTTAAAGATCTATGGACAAGATATTCAACACCTACTTCCAAGAGCAGCCAAAAATTGGCCAAATTTGGTAAACTAGGCCCATGGCATAAATCAGCAAGGTTATGCAAGTCTCTGAAGTCAAAAGGACGCATTGACCTTCATATCCCAAATCAAAAGGTCTTTTTAAACATGGAAAATTCCAGTGGTATGTAAATATAATGCAGTCTAGGGATAGACTCTCCTAAATCACAGAAGAGACAAACTTAAAAGTAGGTTCAGCCAAAGAGACCAAACCTCCATACAAGTAGTGTCTTCAGCATATACAAACAGATATAAAATAATTGTACAGCCATAATATTACAGGACCAATAATCTAGAGATCTTTGAAGCACTTGGATAGTCAAGTTCACAACTTAAGCATGGAGATAGGGGGAGGCAATGGCCTAGTGGTATTATTGCTCGACTGTTAATCCAAAGGCCCCGGTGATGCTCTGGGGACACGAGCTTAAAGCCCACCACAGTAGATGGTATAACTTGAATTTAATAAGTATCTAGAATTAAGAAACTAATGATGACCATGAACGCATTGTCTACTGTTCGGAAAAACCCAGCTGGTTCACAAATGTCCTTTAGGGAAGGAAACTGCCATCCTTACCTGGTCTAGCCTACATGTGACACTAGAACCACAGCAATGTGGTTGACTTAAATGCCCTCTGGGCAGTTAGGGATGGGTAACAAATGTTGGCCTAGCCAGCAACACCATCTCCTGAACAAAAAGGAAAGCAAAAGATAAAACAGTAATATAGAGCTCAACGACTGGAAGTCATTGGGCAAAATGTTAACTCTTTCCTCTCTACAGATTCAAGCAGATTTGTTGTGTTTTAGAACTACAGGTGCTGCAGCTCGATGTTTTATCAAATCAAAATGTAATCACTCAACACACATGGATTAGAGTATAGCCTGAGCAATAAAATATCATTTGGCTCACTGATGTTCCTCAGGGGAAGAAATTAGCTGATGTTCTGGCAGAGAGTCTGGATTCACTCAAGTTGCTGTGGAGTGTAATGACTATTACAGAGACGTGGTTGAAAAGTGCACATGGCCGAGGCAGAATACACAAGAGTGGGCATATTTCAGAAAGATAGGAAGAAATGGATAGCTTACTTATTAAAAAGTAATAAAGTACATCAAGTGCACAATGCTGACATGCAAGTGCATGGCATTATTTACTGTCTACAAGTTGACACATTGAAAAAGAGCAGAACAAATGGTCAGTTAGATTGGAAAAGGTGACCCTAGGCCTAAGGGAGGGATGAAAGTGAAAGAAAGCACATTTAAAAATGCCTGCAGTGATTTTGATCTACTCACTTTTTAGACGGTTGCTTGAGCGGCAGCGTAGTAACTTCATTACTGTTGATTGTCTGAGCAAAGCTTATTGGCCTCTGTGCCACCATTTCTTTTGCAAGAGGCTCTACATTTTCTACTGGATCCTCCAGTGCAGATGGTCCGTCAGATTTGTCTACTGGTGGTTTAGGTGAATTAGGAGAACTTTCATTTGGCCTCAGAACCTCACTTGTTTCCTTTGCAACAAACTCAACATTCTCCACTGGATTTCTTTGACCGTGTAAATCAGAATGAGCTCGTGGTACTTTAGTCAGACTGGGAGAGTTACCAATTTTAGAACCTCCACCAAAGGGATTAAAATTTGGGTCATCCAATTTATCCCATTCAATGTTGTACTCCACCTTTGGGACAAAGGTATCATCAGGGTCATTTTTCTCATTCAGCTTTGCACCTTCCTTAGACGGCTTCTCAACTTTGCTGCAAACATTCTTCTTTTTAGCTGTGTCTGTTCTCTCTCCCAACTTTTTTGGTGGAGGCTTCTGGCCTTCAATCTCCAACTGCACTGGTTGCACCAGGTCAATATCACCTCTATTTAGACAGAACAGATTCTGCTCAAGTGGTGATGTATTTGGTAGACTTGGACCTCCCATTTGGAGTGGGTTCATAGAGTCAACATTATCAAGATTGAAAGACTCTTTTAAGGGAAGTTGTGAAACTTGCTCTTTTATCCGACTTATGATAGGACTGATCTTCTCAAGACCATCCTCCTCAAAGTTACACAAGGTTTGTGATATGACCATCCCACAACCTTGTTCTGTGCTACTGCTGCTTTGACTTTCCACCTGCAAAGAAATATCTGCTGATTCATTTCTACCATGGTCGTTGCTGGGAGTGGCTTTTGACAGTTGTTCAGTTTTCTTAGGCAGAGTCTGATCATTAGTTGATGAAATTTTAGAATGTTGTTCCAGACAGTCCAGTTCTGTGCCAGCCAATTTCTGTGCTGGGGAGTTCAAGACTTTTGACACACCCTGAAAAGGGTTCACCACATCAAACATATCAAAATCAAGTGTGTATGTTCCTTTGGATGAAATATGCTCCTCATTGCCAAGGCCAACATCAGCAGTTGTCTGTTTGGCTTCTGACAATAGCAAACAAAAAAAAAATTAAAAGAAAAATGAGGCACCATGATGCTGCATATAAATTTCACATTAAAAAAACCTAGAAGTGAAGTCTTAAAAATAAACCATATGCCAAAATCTCATTTTTCTGCTAAAAATACCCAAATAAAATATAAAGGCAGTTTCTAAATAAGGAATCTGTTTGGTGCAGGAAATGGTAAAACAACCCAAGAAAATGGATTCAAAGCAAAAAAATAAAAAGGATGCCTTTGAGAGACACAGAGACAGACAGACACAGAGCGCGCGCACGCCACATAGATCAGGTACTATGGAAAATACATTCTTGTGGAGGAAAAGGCAACCAAAGTTAAAGCTCCTCAGAAGATCAAGAAAGGAAAAAAAACAGACAGGCTCATGACAGCAGACAAACCAGGTTGAAGTGAACATGCAAAGCAAAGGTCAAACAGTGAATGACAACTGGCATGAGCATGTCAAAATTCTTCCATATACACAAGAATAGAAGGATAATCAAAAAGCAAGCCAGATTAGAGACACTGACAGGGATCTACACATGGAAGTGACAGGAATGATGCTAAATGAGTACTTTGTAAATCTTAACCTAGGAAGAAAATGGTGCAAAAGAAAAGAAAGGGGACAAGCATTAAAAACAAGGAGATCTATTTTGGTAAAACTAGGTTTGAAAGGTTGATTATACTTAAATAAAACCTTCTTGTTGTGCAGTGGTAGTGTCGTGATCCCTGGACCAAGAGGCCCATGTTCAAGTTCCACCTACTTTAGAGGTGGGTCATAGCAATTCTGAACAGGTTGATTTACAAAAAACTTGATAACTCCAAAACCAGACAGGATGCATACAGATGACAGAAAGGAGACTCAAATGTGGAGGAACAGGCCATAGCTTCCAATCCTCCGTAGATTGGAGGAGTGGCACAAGAAGATTGATGAACTTACAGAAATCTGTTCAATATTGCTTCTCATTGTGCACTGGACTCCAAAGTAAATAGTTGACATGATTATGGAAATATGGTGATGTTAGTAACAACAATGGAGCTCTAACAAAAAAAAAAATTAGCAACTACTGATTTGTTTCTTTCAACTTCTACCTAACCAAAAATACGTCAGTAATTGCTGTGCAAAAAAGTTAGTTTCCACATTGTAAATACCCCATTTTAAGTTTCACTTTTCCTTGCAAAATTTTTTGAACACAATAAACGTTAGAACTGGTATACAGTGCAAGTAGACATTTAGATTTAACTTTAGATGTAAATGAGAGTATGCTTACCTGTATTTTCAACTTGCAGATCAGAACCTAGACAGTCAGATGTACGTCCAGAATCTACATGTCTGTAATTGGAACAGAATGTTTCACTGTATCTCTGACTGCAGAAGTTCTAAGTAATTATTCAGTAATTTTGAGATTCTATTATATTCAAAAAGGGCTAAAGGACAAGAAACAAATACAAATAACAAGCACAAGAAAAATGTGCTAGGGCAACTAATTGGATTAGACTTCACCAGATGAAAGGGTAGCAGTCTAAAAGCTTATGATTTTAAATAAACCTGTGGGACTATAACCAGAGATAGTAGGAACTGCAGATGCTGGAGAATCCGAGACAACAAGGTGCAGGGCTGGATGAACACAGCAGGCCAAGCAGCATCATAGGAGCAGATGCTGCTTGGCC